ATGGTACAGTCTGACTTGGTGATGATCCCTTCTGCCCAAGTTTGCCAATGGTACAGTCTGACTTGGTGATGATCCCTTCTGCCCAAGTTTGCCAGTGGTACAGTCTGACTTGGTGATGATCCCTTCTGCTGAGGTTGCTAATGGCTCAATCAGACAGTTCAGTCAGACTATTGTATTTCTTCATTTTCTGTCGATTCCTGTTACCAGAGGTCCAAATTGATTTTGCCTGCTCAGCTCTCCACGGCACTGGGGGATGGGGGCTCTCATGGCACACGGCTCCTCTGCTTCCCACTCTAAAGCTGCAGTTGACCTACTTCTCCTCCCACATCTAGCCATGTTCCTCGGGCTCAGCTTGACCAGACTCTGCACTCAGACAGATGCCTTAGTTAGAGGGAACAAACAGGGAGGAAATGCGTGTGTTTTGCGTAGCTGAGGAGGTTCAGGCTGGGCCAGCGATGCAGCCAATGTTCATACACCTTGCTCTGGCACAACGGAGCGTGGAGCTGTGATGCGGGAGTGACTGTGTCACCACCCTGGCTGTCTTAGTGTGACAGCGGGGCCCCGTAAACTTCCCATGACCTCATAAATCTCCTGCAAAACAATGACTTCCAACTCCCTGCTCAGTCCCTTCTCCCCCCCCCATAAATATGTGTAATTACTTTGGTGTGAAATTGCCAGATTTTGTTTATTCTCTCACTTTATCCCCCAGTCTCACACACACACACGCCCCCTTGCCCTCACACTTACATTCACATCCATAATAGCATATGTGTGCCTCTCGCTCTCCTGTGTCTCCATGACAACCATCGAATGAGTTTGCGACATCTATTTTTTATGTGTTTAACATACATTTACATTTTTTATTGCTGAGGCAAAGTAGCAGGATCCACCAGAGCATTAAAAAATGTTTTTTTTTTTTCTTTCTGAAAGGAAAACCGCTTTCTGGTGAAAACGCATCACTGCCGTGTTAATCGCTGGCATGCACTGGAGCAAAATAGTTTGTAAATGGGAAAAGTCACACATATCGGCAGCTATTCCCCAAAGTCAGCCGGGTAGAAAGTCGTACCCCGTACTGGCAGACTAGGGGTGTGTCCAGTGACTCTGAGTTGTAGTTAATGGACTGATAGCTCACTGGAACAGTGGGGTCATTTTTTCCCCGTCAGCGTTCATCACAGGAAGCCATTGTGTGGAGGCCAGTCTACACTTCTCTATTCAGGTCTCCTTTCCCCAGTGTTTCTTGTGCTTGTCCATGCTGTAATTACATCTCACATATTGGCCACAATGCACTAAACCTTTGAAGCCCTTGACGTAGCTCTTATTTTTATCAATGGGCTGTAGCATTTAAATCATTGTGATAACATGGCCCTTCGTTATCAGTTAGGGTCACAATAGAGAAATTGTTACCTTTATAGTAAAAACAGTCACTGAACCATATCTGTGTGTCAGTTTAGGCCATTTTACAGAGAACTTTGGCTGCCAGATCCTGAGATTTTTCTGCAATGGTGAACTTACATTAATAATGGGAGACCAAACTTGCTGTGTGGTGATTTGGCTTGGCTTGGGTTTTGCACGGATGGATCTCTAGTGCTGCTATAGGTGCCATATTGAAAGGTAGCTAGATCTGAAGAGAAATGAATCAAGGCCATTCATTCTTTGCTGCTGCTTCTCCTTTGTGTATAACTACAAATGTTTGTCGTGCCGTGGGTGTCGGTTTGAGCTCGATGTCTGAAACGCTGAGTCACAGAATTTCCTGCTCTCCTCAGAGCAGGGGTGGCCAATCATATCCGCAAATGGCCGGTGTGTATGTAGGTTTTCACTTTTCACTGCAACTCCCTACTTAGATTACTAATTAGAGGACTGATTGGCTGAAGAGTCCTCACACCTGGGTTTGAACAGCTGACCTAAAGGTTATCCCAAAAACCTGCATACACACCGGCCCATTGCAGATAAGATTGCCCACCCCTGCCTCAAAGGGAGAACAATGAGGTCGGGGCTTTGTGTCTGACCTTTCCTGTTAGAAAGGGCAGCTGTTTAGCCTTCTGAGAGGCCAGAGGAGCCCTGGCTCTGGTAGAAAGAGGAGGTGGGGTTTGAGGACTTGGGACTTGCACTTAGTGGACATAGCAAAGAAGCAGGACTTTGCCATATATGGGCAAGACCAGGGTGGTAGCGTTGACTGCCCTGGGAGTCTCAGGACGGTCCTGATGCTCTGGACCATGCCATCACAGAGCATCAAAAAGACAGCAGCTACTTCATCCGCAACACTGAACTCAGGTTCAGCGCAAGTGAACCTCCTGGTTCCTCTGAATTATGTCTGCGTTTGCATCTTTACAGAAGTGGGGGTGGGTGTAAAATCTTTATGATGCAATTTCTATCTGGAGATGTATTATGAACTCCTAGGATGCTGGTGCTGGGACTTTCTCCAGAACTTTCCAGCTTTGCTCAAGAGCCCAGATAGCATTTCTGTGGTACAATGTTTAGCACGAGCGATTTATCCTCGGATTGCATTTGCCTTTTCGTAAAGTCTGGTATGGTCATTAAAAAGTTTGAACAAGAAGCAGTTGGCAAAAGAACAGGCTGAATCCGTTTGTAATTTTAGCAAAGCTGCTATGAGTGATTATTTCATCCTACAACTGAGATCTTCATTTAGTGCCTTCATGATCATATGCTAACGCATTATGCACCGAATGGTGTTATGCTGACTGCGTGTTTTTCCAGCACAAGGGAGAATATTCACAACAAACTAGATGAGTTCTTCTCTGAGCGCCGTATGCTGTTTTCTCGAGCAAAAGTCATTTTCTAGCCTAAATTAGCTCGTCTGCTGCAAATTTGCACGTTAACATGGAAGGACAGGATGTGGTGGTGTCAGAATCTGGACTACTCCTCCTGCGTGTCGACGCAGAGCGCCGAAGACAGCTTTAACAGATTGCAGCTTCTCTTACGGCGCTCGGCTGCCAAATTGCAGCGTGTTGTAATACATTAACCTTCCCACCATCTGCTCCTCAGCCTCATCTGACAGAAGAAATGAACAAGCAGGTCTAGATTACCTGCAAAATATTATTCATGAATACTTTTTAAATGTTATTCTGCTTCTTATGGGGGAATACCGGGGAATGAACACAAGTACAGAGGGAAATCACATTATTAACTACTCTGTTATATCTGAGTGTTTGCAAAGTTAAAAAAAAGATGAACATTCTTAAAGCACCTAGACTGAGGCAGCAGATGGCTACAGAAGCAGGCGCCTGTGGATTTCTAAAGCCTTCTCCGTGGCCCCTTCGGCGAGCAGGGGATCTGCGCCACACGCACACACACACAGAGCAAGCGTGTGACGGAGGCTCTTCACCGTGTCCTTGTGAACAGTTCAGCACTCCACACATCCCATTATTAGATTAACATTCCTCCTTTCAGTGGGGCAAAGCCGAGAACTGCGCTGTTTAGAATCGCCTTGGTGTTTTTGCTCCGGCTTTTAGAAACCAC